CCTCCCGCACGCCGGGCAGAGGGTGCTGAGTCAGGGGGGCACAGGGTGCTGGGTCTCCCAGCCTCGGGGCTGACCTTGCTTATGGACAGCTCACCCCGAGGTCTCAAAGATACTTACCCTGGCCACTAATCTCAGCGTGGTCTGGTTCAATGCCAGCACAAGGGGCCCCAAACTTTCCAGAGTCTGTAAATCCCAGCTTGAAGGATCCCTGTGGCATCGGGAGTGCTGAGTCAGGGGGGCACAGGGTGCTGGGTCTCCCAGCCTCGGGGCTGACCTTGCTTATGGACAGCTCACCCCGAGGTCTCAAAGATACTTACCCTGGCCACTAATCTCAGCGTGGTCTGGTTCAATGCCAGCACAAGGGGCCCCAAACTTTCCAGAGTCTGTAAATCCCAGCTTGAAGGATCCCTGTGGCATCGGGAGGAGGACCAGCTCAGCATCCTCATGGATGCCTGTCCCTCCTGCTCATTGCCCACCCTTCTAAGAGCAGAGGCTCCTTACCCATAGGCCGTGCCCCCTGCAAGGAGCACAGCATTGAGGGCATCCTGCTGCGCCCCTGTCAGCACTGGGCAGAGCTTCAGGTTCTCCAAGATGCCAGGATCTGAGGCTGGGATGGTCTCTGCCTCCATGTCACACACCAGTGCCCCAAGGATGCCAAGCTGCTGCAGGTCCAGGTGGCTGCTCTGCACTCCCTGGGAGAGACAAACCAAACTCATACACCCACCAGGGGAGGGCTGGGGGACCTCCCCCAGTGCAGTCCCCACTCACCAGGCAGGTCAATGCCCCACGGAGCAGCACCATCCTCCTGACTGAGCCCTGGGGCAGCAGGTCCAGGTTCCCATGAGAGGCTCGGGAGTAAAATTCTCTGCAGGTCCCAGTGTGCACCTTGGCTGAGCTGTGGGAGCAAGAGTCAGGGTGGTAGGGAGGAGTGGGACAAGGGGCTTTTGTGGGCACAGGAAAGGCAGTTAAGAATTGTTTTTCTCTCCTAAGCTGTGGAGCTGCATGGGGCTGGAGGGTCTTGGGCACAGAATGGGGATTGCCCGTGTACCCCATGCCATGGGCAGTGTGGCTCCTCAGGGAGGAATAGGGTGAGAAGAGGACCAGGGTGTCCACAGGGCTAGGAATACCCCTTGTGGGTTGGAAGGTGCCCACAGGCATAGGTTGTTCTTGTGAAGCTCCCATGTGCCCTGGGGTGTGCCAGGACCATACTGGTGGGCACTGGACAGTGTGATTCCACACCATGTGCCAGCCTCTACTCACTCAAAGAAGAGCAGCAGGTCCGGTGGGAACCTGCTGAAATTGTCCGTCAGGTTCTTGGCAGCGAGCAGCTGGGCCAGGCAGGAGAGCTGGGCACAGAGAGGGTGGGCTGCTCAATGCCAAGGTAGTGACAGCCCCCTCGTCCTGACATCCCCCCACTCCCTCCTCCCAGTCAGGTCCCATGGGGTTTGCAGCCCCACCTCGTGCCCACCTGGGCACTGCTCAGCTCTGCTGGTCTGGTTTGCAATTCCTGGGCAAACGTGAGGATGTCGGCAGCAGGCAGGTCGCTGGCTGGGATGCATGGGAATCCTTGCAGGAGTGAGGATGAGAGGCTGCAAGGGAAGCACGGCTGCAGTTCACCATCCACCTGAGCTCTACAGCACCCCATGGAGGGAAAACCCCCTCGATCCCTTGGAAAACTCCTTTGCCCTGACCACGGCTGTGTGGGTGAGTGGCAATAACATGGGGTGTCATGAAAACGTCCCCTAATGTCAGTGCCAGGGTGGTGCCATGTGGGACGCCCGGCAGGGATGAGGGTGTCCATCCCCACAGCTGGGGGTGGTGGCAGGGGTGCCCACCGTTTCCCAGGATTTGGGTGAGGCAGAAACCAGCAGATCTTGGATTTCAGCTCAGGGGAGGCTCCCACTGGATCTGCAGCAGCCCCATAAAGGAAAGGGAATTCTTGGTGTGTTTGTGCTACAGCAGGAGCCAGAGCAGCTAGAGCAGCTGGAATCCCAGCTTAGGCACAGGCATGGAACCAGACGTGTGAGGCTGTAAATCCTCCCTAGCCCAAGTGACCTGTCACAGCAGCTGTGACATGGATGTGGGGAGAAATACAACATCCACCCACACCAGCCCCGTTGTCTGAACTGCCTGAGACCCTCCCAAGACACCCCAGTCCTCAGAGCCCCTGGCTGGGGCTGGTACTTACTCAGGGTCCTGCTCAGCAGCAGACAGGACAACTCCAACGATCAGGGCAGCCTGGGGAGGAGGATGGGGGATGCTCAGCCTCAGCAAGGATTGGGAAGAAGGGATTTGAGATGCAGGGAATGGGATCTGTCCTGGCTGGAGCCGGCAAGCGACAAACAGAAAAGAACCGCAGCAGCCCCGAGGCTGTCCTGAGCTACATGTGGGGACAAAAGCCACCACAGCTGCTCTCAGGAGCGGGGGGGACCCTTCAGTGGGTCTGTCCCTGCTTTCCTGGAGCTGGCAGGGCTGAGTGTGCCCGTCGGGGTGCCAGCCCTTGGTTTGGGAGCAGGGCAGGGAGGCTGCTGGGCAGCGGGTGAGCAAGGGATGGGATGGGACAAGGACAGAGCCACGGGCCGCAGAGGGGGACAGCAGGGAGACAGTGGCTGTGCCTCCCTGGAGCTGAGCACGAGGAACCACAGCAGCTCCGGCACCAGCCGTGAGGTCTGGGAAAGCCCTGGCGCCGTGGGAGCCAGCGGAGCAGCCACAGGGACTCACTCACCGCTGCAGCTTTCACCAGGTCTGCGGAGACACCTGCAAGGAAGCAGGAGCACGTTAGGAAACATCCAGGAGTGTTTGCACCGGTCGGAGCTGTTCCACAGCGGCTCCAGGTTTAAAGCCTGTGAAGAGCCTTTTCTTTGTTAAGTTAATGAGGTTTGCTAAATGCTGCTGATTGCTGCTCAGAGAGCATCTCCCAGCCTGAGCACCCCCCGGGGCGCTCTGGGTGGATTTGGAAGACAAAGAGGGATAAATCTGTCCCTGGAAACCTGTCTTTGCAGATCTGCCCCTGGGAAAAGCCTCCACCGCCTGCGGATTCAGAGGGGAGCAGGGAGCCGAGGGCAGGGATGGGGACGAGAGGCAGCGCAGGCTGGAGCATCCCCAGTGCTGGGCGCGGGTGCAGACCCCGGAGCAGCTCTAGGGGGACAAGATGTAACTCACGGAGGCAGAGAACGATGGCTGTGGGGGCTGCGGCTGCCCACACCATGGTGCCAGTGCCTGGGCTTCGTCCTCTCTGTGGGTCCCGGGAGCCGTGTCCCACGCTCGGGGCTGTTGGAAGTGCTGTGGTTCCTGCAGCTGATTCTCTCGCTTGATGCTGGGGCTGGAGCTGAGTCCCACACTCAGGGTTGGTGCTTGGGGATGATACTGGGGGTCCTGCAGCTGATGCTGGGGCTGGAGCTGTGGGATCACGATGGCTCAGCGTGGTCACCCACGCCCTGATGTGCCTGCACAAACCCCCCACAGCCAAGGACAGATTTTAAATCCTATATAACAGAAAACAGGATTTCATTCTCTACCTACTATTTAAAAAAATTTCACAATAAGTAGCCCCCTCTGACACCCAACACCCTCCTCCCACCTGTGCCCTGCAGGGACAGGATCCACTCCATCCCCCAGCTCCACACAGGGCCACACCAGCACAGACTGGGAGAAATCCAGTGCAACGCAGTGGAGGAGCCTCAGCAGGTGTTGCCCTCCCCCTGTACCCCACTCCACATCCCACAGCTGGAACCCCTCGATGGAAAAGCAATCCCTGCTCCCCAGATCCCACCCATGGGCTTGGTGCTGCCTGCAGCAATCCGTTATTGCCCTTTGAAGTCGATGCAAGGCATTTTCCCGCTGAGCCTCATTCTGTTCCCCAAATCTCACCGTGGCTGTGCTGAGCTGCTCTCCTCCACGCTGTGCTGGGTGATTTGGCTCCGTGAGCAGCTCTCAGCTGGGAAGGTGCTCGCCCACCTGCAGGGCCGGGGCTGGGCAGCGCCAGGAGCTCTCGGCACTTATCTGTGTGGGGTGGGGATGTTGTTCTGAACACGGGGTGTGACAGGGCAGTTTCTCAACAGTGGTTTTTCAGGGATTTTTCCTCCTCTGTGGCTTTGCTTTGTGGTTATTTTTGCCTTTGTAAAAGGGTCACATTGAAATTTGGATTCAGGTGAACCCAGAATGAACCCAGAAGGAGTTGAAGCATCCAGTTTGGTAGTTTCTGTGTTCCTGAGGGAGATAAAGGTCCTCCCAGTGAGTGAAAAATATTTTGCGCTGTTCAGGGGTTTATTTTGTAGGGCAACTGGGGTGCAGAGCAGATGTGTGCTCAGTGGTGGGCTCAGAATCCTCTGCGAGTTGCTTCCCTTGTGCCTGTCCTTTTTCCCTGAATCACGAACATTCCCTGGTTTACAGCTTTGTCCATGGTCATGCTCTGAAACGCCATCCAGCATGAGCCATGAAGAAAGAGACTAATAAGAAAGGAAGCAAATCCTTCCCAAGGCTGTGGGATGACAACCTGGAGGAGCCTGATGCTGTGAGCAGTGAATGTTATCTGAGCATTTATCCCAGGAAAAGTGAAGGCCTAGAGCAGTTGGAGCCGGTGGCTTGGCTGGAGCAGGGCTGCATCTCTCTCTCAGCCAGATTTGGGGACACCAGCATTCACCAAGGGTCCCTGGAGCTGCTGGCACAGCACCGAGTGGGGTTTGTCACCCCCCGGTGTTCCCAGCTGATCCTGTCCCCCAACCGGTCCTGCAGCACCAGGGCTTGGTCAATGCCCGCAGGTATTGCTGGTTTCTATTTTGGAAGGTTTTACTGTAAAAATAGCTCCTGTTGGAGTGGTAAAATTTCAGAAACTTGTTTGTTATGAGGCTGCCTGTGGGACACAGCCCCTGCCCTAGGCTGGCTGGCCAGAGATGACTGGAGCAGGGGGACAGGGACACATCATGCAGCCTTTGAGGGTCATCACATCCACTGTGTCCCTGTAGAGCTTAAAACTGGCCATGAAACACCCTCAGGAGCTGTCACAGGAGGATCCACCCCAAACCTGAACATATTGGGAAGCATCTGCCCAAGCCCCTTCTTGGGGGCCTCAGTGGGTTCGTGGCAAGCCCCAGCTGCATCTTGCTGTGCCGGGTGAGCTGGGACACTCCCTCCCCTTGACCAGCTGCTCTCTGCCCTAGCTAGGTTTGTAATCTTAAAAATAGTCCCTATCTTGAAGATTGCAAATAATTGCTTTGAGACTTCACTCATTTTTCCAGCTGCGCCAACTGTAGGAACGATGGTTAGTGTGTAGGAGTTACACAGGATCATAGAATCATGGAATAGATTGGGTTGGAAGGGACCTTAAAGCTCTCATTCCACCCCCTGCTGTGGGCAGAGACAGCTTTCATTAGACCAGGTTGCTCCAAGTCCATCCAACCTGGCCTTGAACACTTTCAGGAAAGGGGCTGCCACAGCTTCTCTGGGCAACCTGTGCCAGTGCCTCAGCACACTCACAGGGGAGAATTTCTTTCCAATATCCCATTTAACCCTGCCCTCTGGTAGTGGGAAACCATTCCCCCTTGTCCTATCGCTCCAGTCCCTTGTCCAGCCTCTCTCTGCAGCTCTCTTGGCGCCCCTTTAAGCACTGAAAGGGGCTCTAAGGTCTCCATGGAACCTTCTGTTTTCCAGCCTGAACTCCTCCAGCTCTTCCAGCCTGCCTCAGGAGCAGAGATGCTCCAGTCCTTGGAACATCCAATCAACAAATCTTGCATGGCAGCATCTTCCCCTGTGTGACCCCTAAACTTCAGCAGCCCTGGTACTGCTCCACACGTCCTTGCCATGGAGAACTGTGATGTTCCCAAATCAAGAGCTTTTCTCCTTTTGTGTTCTTCAGTTCAGCAGCTGGTGCTGGTGCTGGCTGAGGCAGGCAGGGACAGGCAGGGGACAGGCAGGGGCATTGACTTCTGCCCCAGCTGCCTCCATCATCCTCGGTCATCTCTGTTACTAAATCTGTGAGGGCTTTCGGGTTGGTCATCCCAGTGGTTTCGGCCAAGAGCATTTCAGCAGGGCGAGGAGGAATGTCAGTGCTCATATAACAGGTTGGCCAGGTTGGAGCCCCAGGGCTGCTCCAGCTGTGCCGGTCTGGGCTCATTCCTGGAAGCCCCCAGGACTGCCTTGGATTGAGAGACCAGAGGGTGGAGGGCAGGAGACACGTTTAACACAGTGAGGTGCAACAATGCAGGGACTTCAAATGGTACAGTGTCACACACCTGAACACAACCCGAGTGGATTCAAGGATGCTGCAGCCAATGGCCCCTGGCAGTGACAGCAGAGAGGAGGGAGCATGACAGGACACAGAACTGGAGCAGAGCCACAAAGGGCACATGGAAAACACTCTCTGCAGGGTAAGGAAAATACGTATTTCCCTGTTTTCTGTGGTATTGGACAAAAGTGTCACACACGAAGGCTGATGAGTGCTGCAGGGACTCCTGGACAAGCACAGGGTGCCAGGCCCCAGCACTGGGGTCCATCAGTGTCCCCAGGTACCACCCCAGGTACCACCAGCATCATCCCAGACATGTCCCCAGCAGGAACTGTTCCCACAGCAGGGCCATGGGGAGGGAAGGCTGAGTCCCACCTGTGACACTGCAAAGTTCACCTATCAGTTTTCAGTACTTCCTATGCACGTCACCTTCATTCTTTGGCAAACAGGTTCATGGCATTAATTTATAGCTTCAGGACCAGCCCATGGCTGCCTCTCCCCTTCAGGCCACTCCTGGGAGATGGAATGGGACCTGGGAGGAAGGAGATGGCCCTGAAGCCTGTGTCACCAGCTCAGGAGCTTATTGTCCCTGCTCGGTGCCCAGGGCTGGCACCTGCAGAGCCATCTCCACCCTGCAGTGGTGGCACCAAGGTGAAGGCAAGGTGACAGCTACCTGCTCACACCACAGCTGTTACAGCTTGTCCTGTAGTAAGGAAAAAAAGGAGGTCTTGGAGAGGTGCTGCTGACTAAAGTTCTCATGGTGTAGCAGAATGGGAAGGGATTTGCCTTTCACACAAAAGAGACATTAGTGCTTTATTAACTGGAAGTAAACCTTTGGGATACATTAATCTGTTGAATTAGAGTGAGTTTAGATTTCATTATGCAGATATTTTGTAATCAAATTCACAAGTTTTGAACTGTGAGAATACCAAGGATTTGGGCAAGATAAGTAGATGTAAAACCACTGTGAGCTACAGTAATGGTTAAATCACCCAGGGGTAACCTGTGACTTTGACATGCATAAATAGGATGTATAAAGGATGTCAGTGCACATCTCATCTCAGAACTTTCCCCAGAATTTTCTCTCTGTAATATTTCTCAACTCCAGAATTTTTGTTGTATTTCCTCTCTCTGTCCATCTGCAGAGGGCAATGATGGAGCAGCTTTGGGGGTTCCTGCACCCAGCCAGGGTCAGCCCACTACAATAGCAAATGAGCAGGTTAATTTTTGTACAGATGCTTATTTGGCTGCAGTATAGTAAGAAACAAACCCTTAAGCACAGAGGCACTCCTTGAAATTCTGTCTAAGGAAAGTTCCTTGATGTGACTTTTCTTTCTTGGAAGTTTGGTCTTGTGAAGGGACTTGTGCACAGCTTTAACCACTTTCCTTTCCAAGGAGTCCGTATGGACTAAGAAATATGGACCTATGTCTGCATGTGGGTCAGATTCTGGTAAGTAAAGGTAACTTTTAAAAACCCCTGTGCTAGGAAGGTCATTTCTGTGAGGCAGAGTAGTACATAACAAGGAGGAATGTTCCTATAGATTTAGTTAGATTTTTCCAGAGGATATTTATTACAGTGCAAACATCTCTGTTAACAAAACTCAGATTAACGTGCTGCAACCAGTTCTATTGTGACCTCTAACTCTAAGCCACACCTTTCTCATCTGTGTGGGCTTTGTGTATCAGGGATTAAAAGACACACACTACACATTAAAGCCTTAACTGTGTGCTTCAGTGTCCAGGAGTGTGTTTTAGCCACCATACAGTTGCTCATCTTACTGCAGTCTCCACTGATCCTGTGGATGCAAGTGTGTGAGAAAAAAATATCTATCCAGGGCCTCTGCCCACCTTCAATTGGAACCAATATGTCATTGAAAACCATCACTGCCATGTCTGTGATGTAGATGTGTAAATATGTTTTCTTTCTACTGCTCTGTCTTCTTCACTGTTACACTTCACCATCACTTTAATGTTGGACTGTAAGC